GTGACTGCTTCAATCTCCTTACTGGTTATGGGTCTGTTCAGGTTTTCTATTTCTTCCTGGTTCAGTTTGTTTATATGTCTTGAGGAATCCATCCATTTCTTCCAGATTGTCAGATTTGCTGGTGTATAGTTGCTCGTAATATGTTCTTAAAATTGTTTGTATTTCTTTGGTGTTGGTTGTGATCTCTCCTCTTTCATTCATGATTTTATTTATTTGGGTCCTTTCTGTTTTCTTTTTGGTAAGTCTGGCCAGGGGTTTATCAACCTTATTAATTCTTTCAGAGAACCAGCTCCTAGCAAAATAAGTGAATCAGAGAAAGACAATTATCCTATGATCTCCCTGATATGAGGAATTTGAGAGGCAGGGTGTGGGGGTTGGAGGGTAAAGAAGGCAAAAATGAAACAAGATGGGATCGGGAGGGGGACAAACCGTAAGAGACTCTTAATCTCACAAAACAAACTGAGGGTTGCTCGGGAGAGAGGGGGTTTTGAGAGAGTGGTTGGGTTATGGACATTGAGGAGGGTATGTGATATGGCGAGTGCTGTGAAATGTGTAAGCCTGACGATTCACAGACCTGTATCCCTGGGGCAAATAATACATTACATGTTAATAAAAATAATTAATAGAAAAAACGAATATCTGAAAAAAAATTACATTACTGGGGCACCAATCCTGTTAGCAGCGAGAAAGATTGACACATTTGTCGAGTTATAGAGTGGATTTTAAATTTTTGGATTTTTTTCCAAATTAATATTTATGGTTTTAAGAATATCTCTTTTCTCTGGCACTTGGGTGACTCAGTTGGTTAAGCATCTGACTCTTGATTTTGGCTCAGGTCATGATCTCAGGGTTGTGAGATCAAGCCCCTAGTATGCACTGAGCATAGAGCTTGCTTAAGATTTTCTCTCTGCCCCACCCCTGCTCAGGCACATGATCACTCACTCTCTCTCTCACATTAGTAAGGAATTTAGAATTTGTAATATGAATATTATTTATTTTTATGATTTTCCAGAGAAATATGAATCTTAATGTATATAGCCAACCTATTTTCATGATACAACTTTCATTTATCCCACTGTAACTTTCCTTTAAAACTATTGAAAAAAATTTAAAAATAAAAATAAAACTTTTTTTTTAGGGACGCCTTGGTGGCTTAGTTGATTAGGTGTCTGCCTTTGACTCGGGTCATGATCCCAGTGGGATCAAGTCCACCTGGGGCTCCTTGCTCAGTGGGGCTCCTTGCTCAGTGGGGAGCCTGCTCCTCCCTCCATCTGCCACTCCCCCTGCTTGTGCTCCCTCTCTCTCTCTCTCTGACAGATAAATAAATAAAATCTTTAATAAATAAATAAATAAATAAAACTTTTTTTTTTTTTTTTTTTAAATAAAATCCATTTTGGTCAATTGTCTTCTTCCAGATGACAAAGCTTCCCTTTATGCTATGGAGCCAATTCCTTATAGGACTGGCACCATCATGATTTATATGTTATATAAGTTTATAAGTTATATGACAAAAATGTCATAGAATTATTACCATGTGAAAGAGGAGGAACTACACCATAACTAAGAATCCAGATAATTCTGCAAGTTGAACAGTGTCGAGTTTGCATAATGGAGTTAAAATGTATACAGATTAAGCAATCAAACTAAACTAAGTAGTAATAATTTGAAGCTTAAGCTTATTTTGGAATGTAAAAAAAAAAAAAAAAAATGAATCAAGCAAATGACAAACCACACTGGCCTTGAACAACTCAGCTGTAATTCCGAGCGTGGTCTTCCTTATATGGCACTAACCTCCCTTTGTATTACGGACACTCAGTAGCCATACTCCTGCATCATCTAGGATAGGGATTCCCAACTTGGAGTCCTTAGATGGGCTTCAGGCATTTAATGTATATTTTAAAAATGTGTATGTGCATATTCTGGAAAGAAGGTCTTTACTTTTCATCAGCTTAAGATCTTCACTAAAACCACATACAATGTTCTTTTTCCTTGTGATGAAACCTTTCAGATGTCTCAAAATCTTAATCTTCTTCTTAAGTATCTTCTTTAGGCCTAATATCAGTACATCCTTCAACTCTTCCTTCCTTATCTAACAGGGATTCTATACCCTTCAACAATCTTATGAGGTCCTGATTTCCTTTATCCAAATAAATTCTAGTTTGTCAATATACCCCACAAAATGTGACATCCAGAATCTGACACTTTTGTAGTGAATTATGTGACCAATAGTGAGCTACTGCCTTCTGTTTTTTTCTGGAAACTATATTAGTATAGACTAATACTAATGTTCATGATTTCCTTTGTCTATGAGACACTACATGCATACTCTCACTCTGCTGAGAGCTCTGGTCCTGAATAGTAACATGCTTTGTGGTGTGGGGATCTCTCTGTACCATTCTTTTAAAACTATATTTGGGGCACCTGGGTGGCTCAGTCATTGAGCGTCTGCCTTTGCCTCAGGTCATGATCCTGGGGTCCTGGGATCAAGCCCTGCATCCAGCTCCCTGCTCGGCGGGAAGCCTGCTTCTCTCTCTCTCACTCCCTCTGCTTGTGTTCCCTCTCTAGCTGTGTCTCTCTGTCAAATAAATAAATAAAATTTAAAAAAAAAACCACTATATTAAAAATTTTTTAAAATACGTATACCATGTAGTAAACAAATGTAGTTATTTAGCCAATCTCTATGTGTTTTCTTTTGTAGTTCATCAGTTACATAACAAGATAAGAATTTGGATGGTTGCAGCTTGGTTATTGAAGAAAATTATAATCTGATCTCATGCCTTTTCCTATTTCATACCCCTTGACCCATCACTTTGATAGCCCTTCTGAAGTAATCTTCCTTTCCAGAGAAATCCCAGGCTTGAAAACTGATACCTCCTTTCCTCATAAAGCCAACAGAGTTGGCTTATTTCAAGCTATGTCCCTCATTTTCAGGATTGGGTTTAAAGCTGTTTGTGTTCTTGCTTACACCCCTCTGTATATGATTGATTTTGGAGACTTTGAGTTAGGTGAGAGATTAAATTTTTAAAACTTGTATTCCTTAAAAAAGAAAATGATCAACAACATATTTTTAGGATGCTTACATGAGGCAAATACCAATGCTATTTTGTAACTAAGGAGCATCAAATGATATTAAAAGACATATATCATGATTAGGGAATTATGTACTATTTAATGGATCATTTAGTTTTTTTAATATTTTGTATAATTCTAAAAATTGATTAGAATTAATTTTGCATCTCTTAAGTATTGACTTATAAGTAAGCATAAATGAAGACCTTATTAAATAATTAGTTGACATTCCTTGGGGTTTGACTAGCTTAGATTCAAATTAAGCACTGCAAATACTTCTGAAATTTTGTTATTCTCTCAAATGGAGGAATTTTGGAAAAAATCAAAAGACAGTTTTTAATAAGTAGATGAATTAAAACATACAGTCAACTCTCGATTATTCAAACTAATGGAGGAAAGGATGGAACAAGCATTACTATTTCTTTAGTTCCTACCCCCTCAGACAATTGTTGAGAGCCTCATTCCAGACAAATCCTTTGGCTTTCCATCTTGTTGTATTTCCTAGCGTTGAATCCAGGATGCAGTCTGAAATACTGTTTACATTTGAGTTGACCAGAAAGTTTCATGTTTTCACATTCTGTTCTTCTTAGACACATTTTTTAATCCAGTGCTTTAGCACTGCTTTTGTGCTATTAAAATTCACATGAGAAACTGATAACATTGTCATTAGGATATTATCCTCATGGCTCATAAAATTAGTTTTATATTAAAAAATCTTATCTTTGAATTATAATTTACAGATAATTATAACCTTTCAAAGGCATTACCTCATGGTACCAAACTGCTTTTTAATTTTTTAATACAAAAATTTTATGACACTTTTTTATCTGAAGAGTGTGTCATAAAAATTCTTCCAACTTTTTGAATTCTTAATGGGTGCAATATTTCTGAGTACTATATGTGTTTGTAAAAGGGAAGAAATGCTGAAGGAATTTATGTGTGAAAACACTATGTTGCGTGTATATAATACATCATTTTCTCTACTAATTAACTGCACACAGTGTGCTATTATCCAGACATAAGTATTCATGGGAACGCATGTATCTGGATAACTATGAGTTGAAATAAACACACCTGCCTTTTATTTCAATAACTGCACATTCAACTCCACATAAGGTATTTATTTGAATGTGACCTCCATATACATGAGAAAACATTGGTTTCATTGTTCAATTTTTTTGTTGATGTTTTGTTGTTGTTGATTTAAATCTAAAATAGGTACAAACTGTGGATAATGCTTCTCTGGAAAACTTTGCATGCAGGGAAAAGGAAATTCAAAGATAAATCCTATGAAAAAACATTGCAATTGTTTTGTCTTATATTTTGCCTCACTATATGTTGAAGCTAAATTCTTGTGTAACGTAGCAATGCTACACACTAAAGCCAAAGTGTGTACAGACAATAAACCCACCTGGAACTGTGCCTACTTTAAGTCAAATAATTTAATTATCTTTCTTTACAGAATAAAATTGTTGATCTTTGATTTGGAGAATCTTTTTTTCTCAAGAAGCTTTTTCCTTGAATAGTGTATTAGAATATGTGTAAGAAATCATGTTTTCTATTAGGCAGTGGAAGTGTTTGTTTCAAGGCTTATTTTAAAGTCTACATAGTAGTTTCCCCTGCCCCCCCAACCACCACCCCATATAAGACATATTTCTGTATAGTCAGTTTTAACTGACATGAGCCAGAAAATTGAATTAGGGTGACTTTAGGAGTCTTAACTTTGAATTTCCTACTTTTCATTGCATGTAAACTCTCAACCACATGTAATAGTTTCAGCTCAAGTTCTAGCTTGTACTTTGCATGTTAAAGCTATAAAAAGTCTATTTATGCTGGAAAGAATTTATGGCTATTGTTCCGCTATCACCTAATTGATAAAATTTATAAATAAAGACTGACTTTATTTATGTAGACTTGTCTTTCTGCCTTAGGGAGTGAACTACTTTATGTCCAAGGGTATCCTAGATGATTCACCAAAGGAAATAGCAAAGTTTATCTTCTGTACAAGAACACTAAATTGGAAAAAACTGAGAATCTATCTTGATGAAAGGTAAAAAAAAAAAAAATTTCAAGTTTTCATCAGAAATGAGTTAGATAATGCTTTTAATGAGTTAAGCTTTACTTTTAAAACTATACCATATAGCGGTCATGTAGTTGAGAAATTTTTCTCACAGCTATTTATAACTGCCATTGTAGTCTGAAAGCAGACAAACAGTATGTAAACAAATGAGTATGGCTGTGTTCTAATAAAATTTTATTTACAAAAATAGGTAGTGGGCCGTATTTGGCTCACTAGCTATAATTTGCCTATCCTTACCATAAACAATTGATAGAAATTAAAGATTATGATCTTATAATCATGGTTGAGCTCAGCAAGAATTGAAGTGTAGTTAAACAGAGGATGACTATATATTAGATTGTCATTGATAAAAAATACGTGTGCACATATACAAATATTTATACACACATGTACACACATACACTTACACAAATATTTATTTAATTGTAAATAACCCAAATGTATATAAGTAGATTTATTACCTCCATAAGATGGGGTACTGATGAGTCATTAAAAAGAATGACTCAGATCTGTGTGTAAAGATATAGAAAGCTGTTCATAATATACCAGATGAAATGAGAAAAGCAAATACTAGAAAAATATATACTATATGTTGACATTTTTTAAAGTCTACATAAATAGTTGTTACCTCTGGTGGTGTGGATTGCTGTGAAAAGTGAAAACTGTTATTATTTTCATAGTTAAAAAACATAAAGAATTCTGTTGCTATTTGAATTTAGCCAAAACACACACACACACACACGACAAGAAGCTGCCCCTTTTAATATTGCAAAAATTTTTTCTTCATTTTATAATTAGAATTACTAGTTTCACCTTACTTTGTTATAACCTATTCACATAAAATTTAAAAATTATTTAATGTCTCAAATAATCAGAGTTGAATTTTTTAATTTTAAGGATTATGTATACTTTGTAGGATTAGCTGATCTGAGAATCAATAATAAAGTTTCATCCAAAAACATAACTTATGAGTCCTTATCATTTTTTTAGTAGAGAACTGTTGACTAAAGCTATATCTTTTTCTTTTTCCACTAGGAGAGATGTGTTGGATGACCTTGTAACGTTGCATAATTTTAGAAATCAATTTTTGCCTAATGCACTGAGAGAATTTTTTCGTCATATCCATGCCCCTGAAGAGCGTGGGGAGTATCTTGAAACTCTCATAACAAAGTTCTCACATAGATTCTGTGCTTGTAACCCTGATTTAATGCGAGAACTTGGCCTTAGTCCTGGTAAGAATATGTATAGTGAATTCCTTCCATTCCCCTTCCCACCTGTAGGTAAAAATAGTAGTATATGAGACTTTTTTTTTTCTCACCCTGGGGAAACATGCTTTCAGTCATTACAAGTATTTCTTTTACTACTTGTAGCAATGAGTAATTCTATAGACTACAACATTTATGTGAGTTTAGAATATTTTGTCATGGCTGTCATTTATATGTAGTAAACACACTCTTTTAGGAAGAAAGTTAAGACTTAGCTATAGATGCTTTAAAATTATTCTTGATTGAGAATTGGGTATTACTAATTTAACTAAAAACTTGAGAAATTATTTTTAAAGCTTTTCATAGTTTATATATTACATAGGTTAACACCTAGAATTTTTCTACTAAAATTTATTTTTAATACAACTAATTTTCATAATGTGTGTATGAGTATATATCTACGTATGTGCAATATAACCTGAGTATCCTGTGTATTTTTTCATTTGATAGAGCTTCACTTTTCTCTTCATCTCAAAAATTTTATTGTGCTTATTAAGTGGAGATTACAAAAACATTTACCCACCATATGAAATTGGTTGAAAATGCTTTTATAAAACATAATATTTAACTTTGCTTTATTAAGACTGCAGGATTCTGAAATTAAAACCCCATAATACTAGCAAGTAGTTGTAGCAAATAATAATACAAGTATCTTGTGGTTTGTTACTATTTTGATAGTAAACATCAGATATTGCCTTGTGTAGATATAAAGACGTTTTGTTGTTGTTGTTGCATACTGCTCAGGTTTAACAATCTTGTCCCTAAAAATTTACTTTTGAAATTAATACATAAATTCCATGGACCTTAAAATACATGTCTCAAAGGAAGATATTAATTTAATAATCTTATAAATTGTTTACATTTTATTTTGAAGGACTGTTAATGCATGTCTTTGTCATTAAATATTTTCCAGTTAGATTTTTATAAAAACATTCTATGTAAATAAATATGTGGGGTTTTTTTTAAATAAGAAGTAGTTTTTTAACTACTATACTTGTAACAGTACAAATGTATTTTACGGGTCATTGAATGGGAGTATCACATTTGAAAGCAAAGATGAAAATAAAGCCAATTCTGAAATTTTTTATTTTGGAATGAGCTTTTATTATAAATTCCTAAACTATTCTAAAATGCTTTAGGAGTTGAAGGAAATAGTCATTAATTGGTGGTCGGTTAGGATGATCAACTATCCCTGTTTGTCTGGGACTGAAGAATTTCCCATGACAGGATTTTCAATGCTAAAATTGGAAAAGGCCCAGACAAACTGAGATGAGTTAGCCATTCTATGTTTAGTTATGAGCCAATCTCAATTTATTTATATTATGAGAAATTTTGCATTAGATAATTCCTTTGGGACCACATTTTTCAAACCACCTAATAATTTGAGGTGTTTCTTTTTAATTCCAGATGCTGTCTATGTACTGTGCTACTCTTTGATTCTACTTTCCATTGACCTCACTAGCCCTCATGTGAAGAATAAAATGTCAAAAAGAGAATTTATTCGAAATACCCGTCGTGCTGCTCAAAACATTAGTGAAGATTTTGTAGGGCACCTTTATGACAACATCTACCTTATTGGCCATGTGGCTGCATAAAAGCACAGTTGCTAGGACTTCAACTATTAACTTCAAACTAAAGTTACCCAAGGACTTATTTAGCAGATATGGGGGTTACATTAGTGCTGGTCATTCTAGCCTCTGTATACAATCAAGCTCGAGTGTACACCTTTTTTTTCCCTTTTACTATTTTCTTTTTTAGTAATTTCCTTGGGGAACTAAAGAATTTTGCAGAATTTTTCTTAATTTTGCTTATCATGTTTTGCACAAAGCAGAGCCATTGTCTGACACAGCTATTTAAGAATGTTCAACTGACATTATACTCTAAAAGATGGTATATTTGTGCATTAGATTTGCTTGAAAAACTACTCATTTTCATTCTTTTTTAAAATACCATGTAATGTGTACATATTTAACTGAAGAGATTTATAATCATAATTATTTTATTGTAAAGATTTTAACTAAAGCCCTTCCTTTTCCTCTCAAACTGAGTTCTGAAATTTATTTGATTCTGATCTGAGCTTATTACTGTCTTCATAAAAGTTGGATCTGACTTAGATAAAGACAAATACCAGTTTCTCTTTCCTTTGAACTTTATAAGAATATAGATTTATTACTAGTAATAAGCAAAACAGGCACTTATTTTTATAATATAAATTTGTCGCTCGACTTTCCATTTTTAAAAGTTTTGAGTTACTCATTTCTCAATAAGTCCTTTAAACTATTTGAGATAGCAAAATATGTTGAAATCTAGGATTCCCATACATAGGAACAGAATGCTATTAAAATTTATATCTCTTGTAATTAGTCAAAATTTGCCATTCTCTTAACTTGATAATTTCTGTTTACATTCAGTTGAGAAGGGGGTATTGTGAGTTAGTCATCCAATAATATTTACCAAGAACCTTCTGTGTACTAAACACTGTGCTAAGTAGCAATTCCTAGACATGGGCCTTGCCTTCATAGATGTTACATGATTGATAAGGAAAAATACTGCTTTCTAAGCAGGGTCGGGCCTGATTAGTACTTGGATGGGAGGAAAAATACTGCTTCTTGGAGAGTATATGTATGAAGCATAGCTTAATTAACAATTATTTAATTATGAAACACTTAGCATTGAAATGATAAAGAAGAATATATTTATATGGTAAGTCAAAAGTTTCCTGGAAATATTGCTAAGTGAAAAGCATCAGCTTTGAAATGAGACACTATGTGATGAGTAGAGCTGCTAGTTTAGGGGGTGGAACTTGGAAGATTAGAAACTTTTTACTGAATGTGTACAGTCCGAGCTTCTTTCCGGATCTGGTCCTAAGTAAATAGTGGTTGATAATATTACAACTGCAAGTGATGCCCTATAGAATTTTCAGTGGCAAAACATAAGATACTCAAACAATTTTGGAAGTCAAAGGGACTTTTAGACCGGAAGTAAACCAGTTTTCAGATCTTGAGGAAAATACCTAAATTTTCACATGTGCATAATATTGAATTCCATAACAAGATACTTCTTTGTAATTTTTAACTTCAAAACTAATTTATTGGAAAGTTTCAGAAGACCAACAGTAATAATAACATTTTATCATTTCCATTTTCCCATGAATCTCCTTTTCTTTCTCTCTTTTTTTTTTCCCCCATCCCTATCTCTCCCTTACCGTTTGGTTCTTTCTACCTCTGTTTTAGTTTTATTCTCTTTTCTTTCCTTCTATATAGTTTTTTGTATCCTCCATTTCACAGTTTTCCCCTTTTTCCTGTTTTATTTTTTCCACCCTGACCGGATTACAAATGTAGATTGGCAGTATTCTTTTTTTAACATTTTCTTACGAAAATTTTCAAACATATAAAAGTTAAAATATATTTTACAGAGAATGTGTATATAACCACTATGTAGGTTCTACAATTAAAATATTACTGCATTCACTTTAGCACGCATTTATCCATCCCTCTGTCCATCAATCCACCTATCTTATTGTTTTAATACAGGTAATACAAGTTTCGGACATCACAGTACTCTTTCTTCCTATAGAATTCAACTTGTATATTGTTAGCTAAAGATTTACTTTTAAAAAAAATTTTTTCTTTATAGGTAAAATTTGCATTCCATGAAATACATAAATGTGAAGTGTACTAATCCATGAATCTTAATAAATGCATACACTTGAGTAAACCAAGCCCGTATCAAGATATACAACTTGACACAACCTATTTACAGTTAATATTTGTACCACTTCACATAAAATATAGAAACCTTGTAACCATACAGGGTGTTTACCCACTTCCTTCATTTGTTATCTTAGAGTTGTTCTATGAATTGCAGATAGCGTACATTACAGACTCCACACCATAATAATTTACTTTGAGTAGTCGTGTACACTTTAAACCAGGGGAAAAAAACCTCATTTATATTGACCCACATTGTCATTTCCAACACTTTTTTCCTTTCTGAAAATCCAAGTTTCCTTGTACTATCATTCATGTCAGCCTGGAAAATATTACCATCTATATGACTGTTCAGGTATGCTGGCAATGAATTATCCTAGTTTCCCTATACATGAAAATGTCTTTACTTTGTTTTCCTTTTTGAAGAGTGCTTTGCTGCATATATAATTCTGCATTGACAGTTTATTCCCCCCTTTTGCACTTTAAAGATAGTCCTCCACTGTCTTCTGGCCTCCATTGTTTCCAGTAAGAAATCAGTATATTCAAATTGTTTTCTCCCTGTGTGTATAAAAAAACCTATTTCCCTCTGAAAATGAAAATTTTGTCAGATATTTCTCAATCTCATTTTTCTTTCCTCCCCTTTTACATATGTGCTAGAACTTTTGATATCATCTCATAGATCTTTTTTTTTCATCTTTTTTTCCTCTTTTCTTCAGTTGGATTATATCTGTTGATCACTGTTCTAGGTCACTGACTTTTCTGTAATCCCTTTTAAGCTCATTCAGTGAACTTTTTTAACTACTATACTTCTTAGTTCTAGAAATCCCTTCACGTTTTTATAATTTATATGTCTGTGCTGCTGCGATTTCCTATCTTCATTTACGGCAAGCACATTTTCCTTACAACCTTGAACATAGTTAAATAGCTGCTTTAAATGTTTATCTGCTCATTTCATCTTCTTCAATTGCCTCTTCTTTTGAGAATAGACTATATTTTCCTGTTTCTTCATATGTTAGTAATTTATACTTTGTCCTAGACATGGCTAATAAAATATATAGAAACTCTATGTTATGATACATTTCTCCAAAGACTTTTTTTTTTAAAGCTGGAAGTTAACTGGCAGAACTCAGTTGCAAGCTCTTGCTCCCCTGAAGTAGTTCAAATATCCGTTCCCTGCTTTAACCTGGAATCTTTTGTGTGTGTCCACAGTTTAGAGAGAAGCCAGAGTGTGTGGCACAGTTCATACACAGAAATTAGGGAGCTCGTTCTTCTTTTCTTGCCATTATTTCTTTCTTCCTTTTCTTGCAGCTACTATTGCCCCAAACTCTGCCCCAGGGTTCTTCAAGTCTGTGAAACTAAAGGCTCGAATGATGCAGCCTAAGAGCTGCCCTCAGGCAAAAACTATAAAATGGGAGATTCATCTCCTATCTTCTTCTTCCAAGTACTCTCTTCAGTGTCAGCCTGAAAAAAAAAAATATTACTGATCAGCCTTTATTGGGTTGCTTTCCATTTCTATACTTTGTCTAGAGTTTGTGGTTTTATCTCTTCAAGGGCTTGTCTGAAAGAGCCATCCGTTGAAGTAGACCCCTCTTGAATTGGGCAGTATTCTTTTTACTACTTTCTATACTTACTGAATAGGGATTTATTCCTGGCATCTTAAAAACTAGGTGAGTATAAATTACATGTTTATTTTTAAAAACCCCATCATAATAAAACATTTACTGAATGCTTAACTCAGAAGTTCAGTGTTTTCCAGTGAGGTCCCGCTGGCTTTGGGGGAAGGATGTTCATTATGGGAGACTGCTCCCTACAAAGGAGAACATCAACGTGCCTGGATTTTGCCTGCTAGATGCCAGTAGCATCCCTCAGTTATTGTGACATACAAATAATGTCCCCACATGTTTCCAAGTGCCTAAAGTTTGGAACTAGTGGAACTTCCTTCCGATAAAACAAGTTTATCTTTCTAAAACACAAGCTCCTTTTGACACTTCTGTTTCAAGTACTCAATATCTCCCTTTCTACAAAATTAAGCCTCTTCAGCATGGCATAAAGGGCTGTATGATCTGGGGACACCTGGGTGGCTCAGTTGGTTGAGTATCTGACTCTTGATTTTGGCTCAGGTTGTGATCTCAGAGTCCTGGAATTGAGCCAAGAGTCAGGCTCCCTGCTCAGCAGGGAGCTTGCTTCTCCTGTCCCTCTGCCCCTCCCTACCCATCCACACACACACTCTCTCTCTCTCTCAAATAAATAAATCTTTAAAAACAAAAAAGGCTGTACAATCTGGCCTCAGCTTATCTTTCTTTAAAGCCTCATCTCCAACATTCCTCAAATGTGATGTGATCTGATCTTTGTCTTTTACAAGCTGGTCTTTCTGTGATGTCTTGCTCTCCCTTCTGTAGCTAAAGTTCCCCTACTCATCATCCAAGATCCACCTCAAATATAGCTTATTCGGCAAAGCTTTCAAAGACTGGCTTTCTATTATAAGGGCTAAACTAGGTAAGTGGCAGAGGACTTAGGAGGAACGAATAAAAAACAAAAACTGAAAATTGATGGGGTTTAGTGATTTTGAAAGAACAAGTTTGATAAAAGGGTCTAGTTTTCCTACTATCAAAGGTAGCTACTAAGAGAGGCAACCAGTGGAGTGATATGGAACAGATGCGATCCCAGTTTTTTGAATTTGAAAGTATCAACAGAACTTTGGTCGCAGCTAGAGAATAAGGCTAGGAAAAAGAAATCAGGGCTGGATAATGTAAGTTTGGAGGTCTTACTGGTATTTAAAAGGTATTTTGTTAAGTGAAGCACTGGAGAAAGCTCCTCTAGAAGGTTTGTTGAGTAAAAAGAAATATTTGGGAAACACAGCATTTTAGGTTTTGGTAGAGAAAATGAGGGTTTGTGAAGACTATAGAAGGACCAGAGAAGAATGGTGGCCTGAGAGCTAGGGAAGCCGAGTTTCAAGAAGGATGCTGAGTTTGCATTTGGTGCTGCTCAACCAAGTAGTTTTTTTTCCACATCTACACTCAAGCTTCTTTGTCTACCTTTTCCACTTAAGGCTGAGTTCTTTCGTTACAGTAGTGCTAATGGCTTTTATATTGTCTCTGACCAAATATTCTCTTACCCAACACGTAATGTGAGCTCTGCTGAAACCCACAAGAGTACTTATGGTCCTCTGCAACTCAGGCCTGTCTACACCTTCCCTCCCCACTAAGGGCTGTGCTGTTTCAAGGCCAGAACATACCGACCAACTGGGTACTGCTAGTGCATTTTTCCTATGCATGATTACCAGTTCTGTTTTCTAATATACAGGTTAGTTTGTGGGGTTTTTTTTTTTTTTGGTTTTTGTTGTTTGTTTTTGTTTTTTGTTTTTTTTTTTAAGAAAAGAAGGCAAAGAAAAAAAGTGCTCAAAAACTTTTG